TAAATTACCCATGGCTGAGATTGCGAAAGTAGAAATATTAATTTTTCCACGGTGAGAAAGCTTCTAAATCTAAAAACATGCATTTATGAACCACAAGATTCTACTTTCCTGATTTGAGGAATTTCATGTCATACTGTCTTTGTTTTAATTACATAAACATCCAATATTTCAGGAAGTAAAACAGCTAGTTTTGCCCAATTAAGTTTCTGAAACCAGGGACTAGTGGGCAAAGGCGAGGCCATTCATTCCATCTTCATGAAGTATCTGTACATACTGTAATGGAAAAACCTGTCTTCTTTCCTGTGTAGGGAAAACCCCAGTTCTTCTCTGTGTTTCTTCCCTGTGTGTTCTTGTACTATTCACACATAACATTTCACTTCTGACACTTCTGGTCACCAAGTGTGTGGAGGTTTTACGCGCCACCCCCCCCCCCACCCCCCCGCAAGTAATTCTCTGTAATACGAGCTGTGTGTCCTACCAATCAACTCAATTCTAACACTGTCCTCCTAGAGACAGCATCAGATTCTACAGGTTAAGGGCTCAGTCCCACAAGACTGCTCCCACTGCCTCCACTTTAGAAACCTGTTGCAAGCCCAGGTTATCATCAACTGGCTATAGGTCAGAGGTTCCAATGACCCCCTGCCTTCCCCCACCCCTTGGGTTCAATTAAGCTGCTAAAGCAGTTCCAGAATGCAGGGAAACACTTACCCATGTTTACCAGTTTGTTAAAGAATATAATAAAGCACACAGATAAATATCTAGATGGAAGAGCTGTGTAGGGATGGGGCTTGGAACATCCATGTCCTTTCCAGGCCTGTCACAATCCCAGCACCTCCATGTGTTCACCAGTTCTCCAAACCTCATCCTTTGGGAATTTTATGGAGGCTTCATTACGTAGGCATAATGGATTATTAACTCCATTGTCAGCCCTTCTCCTGTCTCAAGAGAAGGGGGAACGGGGCTGAAAATTCCAAGTTTCTCATCTAGGAGCCCACCAGTGTTGCCTCATTAGAACAAAAGACATTCCTATCACCCAGGAAATTACAAAGGTTTCTTTTCAGGTGCCCTGTATCAGGACCAAGGGTGTGTGTGTGTGTGGGGGGGGGGGGGGGGGGGGACACGGACAAAGATCAAACAGCACAAGCACAAAAGATGCTCCTAGTGCTCTTATCACTTAAGAAATTACAAGGGTTTTAGGACATCTGTCCAAGGAACTGGGCAGAGATCAATATATATTTTTTATTACCTCACACATACAACCATCAAACATTTGGATAGAGTTCAACCCAAGAACACCAAAAGGGAAAGTATGAAGAGAACCTACAATTCTTAGAGAAAAGAGAGATGAGGTAGGAAAAGCTGTAAATTGAAGTAGGAAGATCTCTGGCTTATGTGTGAATTAGTCTTAATAAAATAATTCTTGTTGGACTCAGAGTTTCCTGAGCCCAGAATTCCCAGGTGCTCATCTAGGAGTCACCACCCTTTAGTGCAGTGATGGCGAACCTATGACACGCGTGTCAGAGGTGACACACAAACTCATTTTTTTGGTTGATTTTTCTTTGTTAAATGGCACTTAAATATATAAAATAAATATCAAAAATATACATCTTTGTTTTACTATGGTTGCAAATATCAAAAAATTTCTATATGTGACACGGCACCAAAGTTAAGTTAGGGCTTTTCAAAATGCTGACATGCCGAGCTCAAAAGGTTCGCCATCAGAGCTGCCCATACAATTGAGTTCAAAACTTTCTATCAGAGAAGCAGTAAAGTCTAGAAGGCTTCAAACCTAATTCCTGAATAACCCCTATTTGGTAATATAAGAGTTCAACCTAATAACTGTTGAGATGGGAATGAAGATAGCTCAGTAGATAGTCCCATCATTTGGTCAGAAACATCCTCAATCTCCAACAGCAACCAAGAAATAGAATAGCTTTGTACAAGATGGGGCTTAGAATGAAAACTGCAATCTATCAACTTAAACAGAGCATGAATATTACAATATTACAGCAGAAAAAGCCTCCCCCTACTCTGATACACATACCCAAATGTTTATTTCCCATCTTCTTCAAAATGAGTGTGAAGGGAATGAATTCTGAGCAAATCAGGAAGGGAAAAAAGACCAAAGTTTCTAAAGGGAATGTACAGAACACAGAAGGTATCAAGTTAATAGTGAAAAATAAGACAAAATTGACAAGTAGTCTGGGTCCTAATATCACCCAGTCAGCACATTCTGTCCTTAAAGTCCAAATGAAAAGCCAAATTATAATCAAAAGGTGAGTACATTCAACAGGGCAACCTCCCCCAAGTGATACCAAGGTAAAATGATTTATTCTTACTTTCCTTGAACCCCTTCTTTCCACCTTCATGCTGACCATAGTCTTCATATTAAAAAGTCTTTGTTCAGACTGGCCACAAAACAATTATTACAGTTTTAGTTCTCTTTCATAAAATATTTTCATGCCCCCTAATCTAATCAACACCCTGATTTAAATAACCTTGACTATTTGGGGGTTAGGCCATCTCTTCCATAGGCTACCCAGCTGTTGATTACAATTAGCTTCATTCAGACACTAACGTTGGGTGAAATTCAAAGAGCATCATAGATCAATCTCATAAATACTAATATAAACACTGGAGTAACTTCCTTTTAGAAAGCTTCATGAAATAAGAATGAAATGATGAATAAATGTAGTAGAAGCACATTACTTTAGATTACCCTCTTTGAGGGACTGGATAACACCTTCTACTGCAGTCAAGAGTGATGAAGATGACCACTAACTGTAACACCAACATCTGCATAGAATCACAAAACCAAAACCCAGACCTCCTTTAAGAAATTGGGTAGAATTGGCCTGGCCGGTTGGCTCAGTTGGTTGGAGCACTGTCCTGTACACCAAAAGATTGAGAGTTTTGATTCCTGTGCATATGTTTCTGTTTCTCTCTCCCCACCCCCCATCCCCAAAAATCAATAAAAATATATCCTCGGGTTAGGATTAAAAATAATAATAATAAAAGAAAAAAGAAAAAAAAATCTGTTAACGTGAATAGCAAAAAACACAAGATTTCCCTAGTTTATTTTGAAAGAACTCCAGATATATTCTACAACTTCCTCTATAGCACACTCAAACAATCCTTATACTCAGGATGGTTAGATTTTCTTATAACAAGAGCCTTCCTAGTGAAGTCCGTTCAAGGTAAAAAGATTCGGGCAAAATAAACATTTAACACAAATGAGAATTCTTTAAATGACTTTCCATTCAAAATGACTGCTTCACATAAATAAGGGGGGAAAAAAGTCCTAAGCTAGCTCTTTTTATTAATAATCTTAATTGACATTGAGATTATTTCCCACTTAAAAAAATTTTAAGCGTACAATATGTAACATGTACAAAAATTAGAAAATTAAATGTATAAAAATCTGTAATTTTTAAAAAATATATTTTTATTGATTTCAGAGAGGAAAGGAGAGGGAGAGAGAGATAGAAACATCAATGATGTAAGAGAATCATTGATCGGCTGCCTCCTGCTTGCTCTCCTACTGGAGATCGAGCCCAGAACCCAGGCATGTGCCCTGACCAGGAATGGAACCATGATCTCCTGATTCTTGGGTCAATGCTCAACCACTGAGCGAAGCCAGCTGGACAAATCTGTAATTTTTTTACAATAAAAATTTCACATGTAAAAGTTTAAATTACATTTTTGATATTTTTTTTCCAAGGCAGATCTAGGAATTTTTTAAAAAGTCACCTCTACTCCTGAATTCAGCCATAACAAAAGGACAATCTAACTTAACAGCATTGACTCTTTCTATTGATTTTTACACTTGAAAGTAAGACCAAATTGTCTACTGAATAATTAGCAAAACTATAGTCTCTTTACCTGTTTATAAATGATAAGACAAAATAACTATACAACCCAGCGCTTTAAAGTTTTTGATGTTAATGCCAGACATACTGAACTATTTGAAAATGTGTTTTGTAAATTCTGGTTGATTAAAAAGATCCTTAACTAAAGTATTTAAATGGAAAAAATTATGTATCTTGTTGACAGTTTTCTTCCACTAAGTAATGCCTAAGAGATTTAATATCCATCCATTTGAAGGAAAGGATGACCCTCTAATTGCATCTGGCTGACTCTTATCTTTTAAATCTCAGCTGTTACTTAAACTCTTTCAGAGGCCATTCCAGATTAGAAGCCCTATTTATGTACTCCTGATAGCACTTTACACTTCCACTAACATAACATTTATATGCACTGTACTGTGACTGTCTGGCAGTGACTGGCATAAACAGGTGCTAAATATATACTGGATGAAGAGGTCAAAAGTGAAATGGTCAGAATAGTCTTCAAGTGATAGAGAAGTAAACCTTTCAGATTGAGCTGTACCTGTAAATAGGGGTGGAGGTGGGAACAGAGGTAGGAAGGCCATGGGTGGAAGAGTACACTCCTTTGTGAAGGAGAAAGGCTTTACAAGAGCTTCTAAAAGAATAACAGTCAAACAGGGCAGTAAGACTAACACAGATCATATAGTGATTTACACCAATCCATTCACTTTTATAATGATACTAGAGGCCTATAGCATGAAGAGATTCATGCAATAGGCCTTCCTTTCCCCTGGCTGCTGGCACTGATTTTCCTCCGGTACCCGGCACCCAGGCCTTCGCTCTGGCCGGGCCCGGCTGGAGCCGGCCCTGGGTCCCTGAGGCTTCGCTGCACCACCGGCCCCGGGGCCGTCGCTGCTCCGGCCCCTGGGCCGTCAAGCTTTGCTCCACTGCTTGGAGCCTATGTATGCAAATTAACTGCCATCTTTGTTAGGTTAATTTGCATACTCTCCTGATTGGCTGGTTAGCATAGTGAAGGTACAGTCAATTTACATGTTTGTCTATTATTAGGTAAGATACATGATTGGCTTAAAAATTAGATGAATCAATTTAAGAAAAAGAATACATATTTTATTTTTAAAAGTTACTTAAAAGATTCATAAGGAAAAGTCTCACCTGTCCTGGGATCAAATAGCTGATTAGCTTCTAAATCTGTAAAAGTATTAGAACAGACAGGACATTTGAAGGAAGCCCGGTTGGTGGAATCTCTCTCATCAGTTTCAATCCTCCTTCTCATGTGGTCCAATTTATATTTTACCACATTAACAAGAGTACGATAATTGATAAAGTAGTAGTTATGGCGAGTGGTTTTCCCATCTGCAGCAGTCTCCACTCTCATTCTGCATTTGATGAACTTGTCTCCCTTTAAATTATTCAAAACTGAACGAAGCTGCTTCCGATCAAACTTGAGCAGCTCCAACATATCCTCCTCTTTCACACAAGGGTTCCGGATCAAGATGTCCAAGGCCAAAGCATGCTCAATGCCATAGAAACCCCGGATCACATACTTGGCTAACCTCTTCAATGATGCAGGAACCTCGGTGAGGACATCGGGGTCTGCCATCTTTAGCGGCAAACTTCAACTTTAAATGTACTGAGTTCAGAAAAAAAGAGAAGATTACACAGGCACAATGAGGACACAGTAATCATTTTAAATCTAAAATAATCAACTCATTAGGTAGCTATCACTATTCTTGGAGTGCCATAAAAGCACTCAGAACATTGTTTTATAAGACTTATAATGCCAAAACATTTAACAGAGAACAAGATTTTCCTCCGAGTATACAAAATATTACACCTAAAAAGCTTGGCATATTTCTTAAATGATTATTTTCATGATCTACAATGTGTTTGATTAAAAAAATTAACATTACTTGCCGAAACCGGTTTGGCTCAGTGGATAGAGCATCGGCCTGCGGACTGAAAGGTCCCAGGTTCGATTCCGGTCAAGGGCATGTACCTTGGTTGCGGGCACATCCCCAGTAGGAGGTGTGCAGGAGGCAGCTGATCGATGTTTCTCTCTCATCGATGTTTCTAACTCTCTATCTCTCTCCCTTCCTCTCTGTAAAAAATCAATAAAATATATTTAAAAAAAAAAAAAAATTAACATTACTTATAGCAATGATACTTATCAAACCCACTTTATTTCAGTAAGAGAAACACAAAAAAATTAAATAAAGTCTTATTAGTCTTAATGCTATATAGATCAGTGATTTTCAACCCTTTTCATCTCATGGTACATATAAATTAATTTGTAACTTCCATGGCACACCGGTTATGGTGCATTGGCTGCTATCATATTTTTATTGGACAAGCTAAGGGAAAAGAGGTCTTTTAAATAGCCAGGTATTCCATGTTTTAAAAATTCTTGTGGCACATCAGCATGCCTGTGGCAGTACTCCAATTGAAAATCGCTGCTATAGATCTTTGGAAATGCTGGGTTACGCCCCACTCCCCCCCCCCGCCCCCGGCGCCCCCCCCTCTCCCGCAAGAAGTCTAACCATTAGCATATCCTTAAAGTGTTCTTTATTTCTTGAGAAAAATTTTTCTACCAAGATAGCCCTGGCTGGTATGGCTGAGTTGGTTGGAGCACTATCCTGTGCACCAAAGGGCCACAGGTTCAATTGCAAGTCAGGGCACATACCCAGGTTGTAGGTTTGTTCCCTGGTAGATCCCCGGTTGGGGGTACAGGAGGCTTCCAATCAGTGCTCACATCAGTATTTTTCTTTCTTTTAAAAAAAATATATATTTTATTGATTTTTTACAGAGAGGAAGGGAGAGGGATAGAGAGTTAGAAACATCGATGAGAGAGAAACATGGACCAGCTGCCTCCTGCACACTCCCCACAGGGTATGTGCCTGCAACCAAGGTACATGCCCTTGACCGGAATCGAACTTGGGACCCTTGAGTCCGCAGGCGGACACTCTATCCACTCTGCCAAACCAGTTAGTGCTCACATCAGTATTTTTCTCTCTCTCCCTCCCTCTCTAAAATCAATAAAAACATACCTTTAGGTGAGGGTTAAAAAATATAATTTAAAAAATTTTCTCTCAGAATAGACCTAGAATGTTTTACACAGTCATGTGTAAAATCACAACAAACCAAAAAACACATAAGTAATCACCAACTGGGACGCTTAGCAAAATTATTACTATAAATATGAAAGAAATTAACACTTAGATCTAGATAGCTTTACCAACCTTGTTAACTTAAATCTATTAATCAATTAATACCATATAGTCCTTAAAAAGCACACACACACCCCAAGATATCCTTAAATACTGGACCTCCTTGCAAAACAATTGTACCCAATTCTTATATCATGACCCAAAAAGCTTTCTTTTTGAAGCCCAAAATGGCATGGGCTAGACTTTCACGTGATTGTTTTAAAGGATAGGCTTTGGAAGTCAGAGTTGGACAACCTGTGTTTTAGTAGCTGTGTGATCCTAAGCAAATCAATTAAACCACCACAAGCCATACTTTATTCTCCTAGCGAAATAACAATATCAGCTATCTCAATCAGGTTGTTGTGATGAATAAATGAGAATGTAAGTAATGTGCTTAGGAAGCACTTATTAGTAGGAACAGCCCCCACATCGCCCTTGTGGGGGTGGCTCAGTTGGTTGATCATTGTCCCATGCACCAAAAGGCTGCTGGTTTGATTTCTAGTCAGGGCACACACCCAGATTGCGGGTTGTTCCCTGGTAGATCCCTGGTCAGAGTGGGTACAGGGGGAAACCAATTGATGTTCACATTGATGTTTCTCTCTCTCTCAAAAAAAAAAAAAATCAATTAAAACATTTTTTTTTAAAAAAAGAATAGCTTCCATATAGACTTTAATATGTCCCAAAGTAAAAATGGTCAGGCTATCCAGACATACTGTCAAATGAAATTCCCTATACCATAGGGAAATTTTTAAGAGCCATCCCATTGAATAATTTCAAAAGGGAATCATCTTTTGTTATTAACACTGCTATCTACTGAATCTTTTTATTTCAAATCAGTGGCTATCAACAGTATCTCCTTTCATAAGAAATATTTTTATATTCACAGTATTATACTAAAAAGATTCCTAAATAACCAATCTATACACATTTGGAGAAGGGGGGGCGGATATAATGCCCTACATGCAATAAAGAAAGAAATAAAAGGAGAGTTAGTTACAATTAAATATATATTTCCTATTGTAAACCTTCAGGCATTGACTATGAGATAACAAAGTAGCACCTAGATCCAAACCTGTGGTCTTACCACCTTCCTGTTATTCCAAGGATCAAGGGTGCCAAGCAAGTGCCTGGGTTCAACACCAAAGTATCTAGAGCAGTGATGGCGAACCTTTTGAGCTAGGCATGTCAGCATTTTGAAAAACCCTAACTTAACTCTGGTGCCGTGTCACATACAGATATTTTTTGATATTTGCAACCATAGTAAAACAAAGATTTATATTTTTGATATTTATTTTATATATTTAAATGCCATTTAACAAAGAAAAATCAACCAAAAAAATGAGTTCGCGTGTCACCTCCGACATGCGTGTCATAGGTTCGCCATCACTGATCTAGAGCATACTATCAGATGCATTTTGCTCTCCTTTCTAATTTAGTTGATACACTGTACTTGAACACAGCTGTTTTTGTGTTTTTTATATGCTTAATGATTGGCAGAACACAAAACACGGCTTCAGAAACATCCAACAGACCAAAGAATGGCAGACAAATGTCAAAATAACCTACTTTTCCAACATTATTTCCCCTCCCTGACCTCCCACAACATACACTCCATATTCTGGAATCAATGGTTCTCAACCCTGGCTGTAAAGTAAAACCATCTAGGAAGCATCTGAAAGTATACAAGTGGGCCCCATTCCCAGAGATTCTGTTTCGGCTGGTCTGGGAGGATCAGATTAGGCATCCTATTTTAAAAGCTCTTTAGGTGACTCCAATAAACAGAAAAAATCCCTGACCACTACTCCAGACAAATCTGGTGACTGGCTATTACATATTATGCCAACACACATCATGCGCTGAGGACCCTCTGCTACTCACTTAGCCTGTTTCCACTGCCTGAAACAACTTAGAGTAGTGGTTCTCAACCTTGTCTGCACATTAGAATCACCTGGGAATCTTTTTAAAATCCTGATTTCTGGGCCTCATCCTCCGGAAATTCTGTTTCTTTGTTACTAATGTTTTGGCCCCACCCCAAAACAAAGAAAGAATTTCCGGAGGATGAGGCCCAGAAATCAGGATTTTAAAAAGATTCCCAGGTGATTCTAATGTGCAGACAAGGTTGAGAACCACTGACTTAGAGGGTCCTAATGATTAGAGCAAGGGAGTGACATGAGGACTCTTTAGTCCTCTTCAGTCCAATAGTTTTGGGTTTTGAAACCCAGGTTCCAGCATTTCTTAACCTGTGGCCCTGAAAATTGTTTCCTCGTGCATAAAAAGTGATTAACAGGTCCTTTCTCATAGAGTTGATGCATGGATTAAATGAAATAATCCATGAAAAATATGCTGCTTACAGAGGTGGCATCATAAGAGTTCCATTATTGGTATTCATACTAAGAACTCCTGTTTAGAAAAGTGACTCTACAACAATATGAAGACTGGATCGAGGTAAGTGAAGATGGACGTATATGGAAGTATTAGGAGCTATAGTAATCAAACCTGAACTAAGAAAGAGAGCAAACTATTGCAAGAGAACAGGATGCTCCCCAGATAATTCTACTTTTCAGAAACACAATCAAAAGGGCCCAAAAATATATTGGAAATGGGATTTAAAAAAGCAGTAAATTTTTAAGTAGTTATTTTTTTAACCAAATAAATATTTATTTTTAAATAAATGTTTTATTATGGTAAAATACACATAACAAAATTTACCAATTAACCATTTCTAAGTATACAGTCCAGTGGTATTAAATACATTCATAACTTCGTATAACTATCACCACCATCCATCTCCGTAACTCTTTTCATCTTATAAAACTGAAACGCTATAACCATTAAACAAGAATGTTATTAATACAAAAAGATACAGCTATTTGTTTTAAGCCAGTGTAACCAAGAAAAGTACTCCTATGAAAAAATAGGCTAACATCTGCAGAGGAACAGGTTTGAAAGAAATGAGGCATTCACTTTTAGTTGCTTCTCTTTGAGGAGGTACTACAGAATATTCCTGTGAAGATGTCCAGCAGGTAGCTGAATGAACGAAACGAGCTCAGGAAAGAAATCATGCCACCTCGTTCGAAATTTCTCCCTTCTAAAATCGTCCTTCCTGACCACTGCCTTCTCTTCTCTATCACGTCTACTTCTCCACATATGCTAAATCTCCTACTCAATCTCTGGATTTCTTAAATTATTTAAGTCCGAGGTACCAAACTGGCAACCTCTACCACACTGTTTGACCAGAAGAATGTCTTGAAAATGTTCTGAGTTAGCTGCCAACATTAAAAATAGTGGGATTTCACATAAATCTCAACTTTCAGCTCCTCTTGAAAATTGGAAATATCTGAGGAAAAGTGAGACCAGGTTCCCATATGAAAAAAAAGAAGAAGAAAAAGCTGAAAAGCAGCTGTCACTTTTAAACAGGGAAAGAGCTTGACTGACTGGTCTCTGGAAATTTTTAAGTTTGTAACCTCTCAGGGCAATCCCTTTTTTTCTTCTTTGCTTCAGAGTCTCAGTCCCTCCCAGTCTCACCTACCTCCCTACCCAGCACAGCTCCCCAAAGATCTTGTTTTTGAATCATATGCACGACAGGCATACAAACACTGAAGAACGACACTGCACCAGGCACAGAGCTGGAGGAACAAAAGGGAAATGAATGAGTTCCCTGCACTGTCTGTCCCCGTCATTCTTATCTCCAGCCACACTGGCACGCTCTCAACTCCATCAGCCACCTACGCCTTCCCCACCTCCAGGCCTTTGCACATTCTGTTCTCCCTGCTCAAACTCTCTTCTAATCATCCTTCGCACCTCAAACGACATTTCCTCGGAGACCTTCCCAGATTAGATGCCCCCTGAATAGCTCAGTGTGATCGATCCCATTTCACAAGCTCCCGAGGCTCTTTCCCAACCTCCTTCCTTGCAGCGAGTAGACCTGGACTCTCATATCTACCTGAGAACGGGGATATCAGGTTCACCCCTGACTTTTCAAAACCCGGCACCGCTCGTCAGGGGCTGCCCTAAAACTCCCAGGAGCTCCCCCAAGCACGTGTTCTTCCCACAGGCCCGTCCCGCCAACTTCCCCACACTCTACTGCCTCCCCCGCGGCTTCCAGAGCAGAAAAGGACAGGCTAGTAGTGGGATCCCTCTTCTTAAACTTCAAATGGTTTTAGGCAGGAAGCAACAGGACCAAATCTGCAATTTTAAAAGATGATGCTCAGGGTATAAGATAAACGGAGAAAGAAGAGGTTGCGGGGGGGGTGGTCCAGTTTATTAATCCAGTCGATTATTCCAATATACTACTATGCCAGTTCTATACGAATTTGAATCTTATACATTTAACTGCAGTGGGATTTTTTGGGTGTTTTTTTTTTTTTTTTTTACCAGTTACCACGTTTCATGGTCTCTCCACGCCTTCCTACATAAGAAAGCTGCAGGCCACCGCGAAACCCCTGGACCCAGCTGCCCCCCACGAGCCCGGTGCAGTCATGTCCACTCCTCCCCACACTGCGCGACCCCCGACTCCCTCGGATTCTGCCAGCCGAGTGCGGGGGCCACACGCGGTGGAGCCCATGGTCCTGCCCGAGGTCGCACACGGGCCGCTCCGGGCTCCATGGCTCTTTAGAGAACCCAGTCCAGAGAGCAGCTGAGAGGGGGAGCGTAGCTAAGGAGAAAGGAGCGAAAAGGAGAAACACGACTCCGGGCCAGGGAACCCAGAACAAGGAACAGGGAACAAGGTTTACCCAGGCGAATCCTCGAACACTGGCACTACAGCTTCCCTCAGCGCCTCAACTACCGGCTCCAGCGAGCCTCGCCATTCGTGCGACAAAGAGAACGCCTTATTCCTGCGACCAGCTTTGGGAGCCACCCGCTACTTTCAACCGAGCCGGCCAATCAGCACAGCGAAGCCGTCCGTGAGGCGAGTCACACTCCGATTGGCCAATGACAGGGAAGGCTCCGCCCTCCGTGCCCAGCTCTGATTGGCTTAAAATCAGGAACAGGCGTGAACCCCGGAAGGCAGTGGCAAGATGGCGTCCCTGGATCGGGTAAAGGTCCTGGTGTTGGGAGACTCAGGTGAGCGGCTTCACCCACCTCTCGGGCTACCAACACTTTTGAATTATTCGCTAACTACGACTCCCTCCCTCCGCCAACTAAATCGCTCGGGCCCGTGGCTGAAATCCCTCTCGAGGCCTAAAGACTACACTTCCCAGAGGACTTTGCTCTGTTTGACCAAGTGGCGGCCTCGCATGGGCCGGGGGCGCGGAGTCGCGGCCTTTCTCCGCCTTCGCCGCTTTCCACGTCGGTCTCCTGGACGGTCGTAACCTAGCGCGTAGCGTCGGTTCCTTTGTTTTAAAAGACATGCAGACATTGAGTATTCTGTTGCGCGCGGTGCTAAGGAAACAGAAGCTAGGACCGTGCCTTCAGGAGATCTTATTATGGAAGCCGAACGTGCACACAGAACAATGACACTGTTCTAAGTTCGTTGCGTATATTCACTCATTTAATCCGGAGAGTAGCCCTGTTGCCCCATTTTACAGATGAGAAGAGTGTGGCGGCGAAATGTAACTGACAGAACCGGTTTGAACCCGGGGTCCACATACTTAAACACGAAGCTGTGTTATGAAATGAGATAGTGGAGGGTAATCCTGTTTTACTCTCAGTGGGGCTTGATTTCTTTCTTCTCCTGGATCTTAATTGAAAACCTATTCCGTGCTAGGTTGTGAGAAAGAGAGAAATTAAGATAAGGGCCTTTTATGAATTAACTGGGACTTAATGCTGAGCCCCAGTTTATCCCTAGTTTTAAAATTCATTTTTACACCTTGGACATTTGGAATCCTGTATCTCCCCCTCCCACCTCACTGTCCTTGTCCCTCGCACCGTACCTCCACTCCTGTGCTCCTTATGAGCTTGGAATAAATGCTGACCTTGCATTTCATAGTTGTGCTTCTCTGGAGTTGACCTTTGAAATGTGTGCTGTGAGCAAAGACATTGTGCCAGACACTTGGAGGTGGAGAGGGCATACCTCAGAAAGCTTGAAGATTGCCCTTACAGGACTGAACAACATTGCTGGGGAAGGGAGGAGGTCAGAAACCTTTTCACCTTGCCTGAAGATTATTTACATTCTAAAATATTTTACAGAGAGCATCATTTAAAATCCCCTAAGAAAACCCCGTTATGAAATCCTATGAACATAATCCATTTATGTCAACTCCAGTTCTTTAGCTTGAAGTGATGCTGAAGTTAATAAAATCACTACATTTCACAGATAAAGTAATGGTGGTCTAAAGGGATTTGGCAAGTGTATCATCAAGGTAGGATTTAGAATTGGAATACAGGGCTAACATAATTTCATGGTATGTGAAGTGGGTGTCTCTTTTATAATTTCCTTTTTTATTACATTTACAGCCCCTTCATGTTAGATATTGTTGCAACTAGCAGATTTCCTCCCCCCCCCCCCCCCCCCCCGCCCAAAAAACAACAACAATAACACAAAAAACACTTAAGTATGTACTATAGAGAGCAGACACTGCTGGGTTTATAGCTGGAGTCAATTATGTAGCAGGATTGAATTGGCTGCTGCATTAAATGGTGGAAACTGATCAGGCAGTTAGTAGGCTTTATTTTGTTTGTTCATTATAGTTTAGTTGTAAAACAGAAGACAGTCATGCCCACCAGGAAAGTGACTGATCTTGTTACACATTCACTGACGTTAGGCTATATGTACAAAGTCAGTTATTGCCTTTTTATCAGTTCCCTTTTAACAGTGATTTACTATCAGACAGGTTAGAATATACTTACACTTCATCTGTCTTTGCATTCAGCCTTTAAAGTTTCCTTTTGAATAAAGGCTTATTTCCCTCGTGAAATTTGGAGGATTTTACAAATACATAAAGGAATGACTTGGGATATAGAGATTTGTTTTGTATCCCTTAGATATATTTGATAATTTAGTAAGGAATCCTGAAAGTCTCACTAACATGAACATACTGATTCTCTTTATTATTTCAGATACAAGGGATGAGCTTGATACATTACCAACAACTAATATTTGCAGCTGGTATTTATTTAATTACATTGGGCCTCTTCCTCTTCCCCCCTTCCCCCCCCTCCCCCGCAGAAAATGAATGCATTTTTTAAAAATATATTTTATTGATTTTACAGAGAGGAAAGGAGAGGGATAGAGAGTTAGAAACATCAATGAGAAGGAAACATCGATCAGCTGCCTCCTGCACACAGCCTACTGGGGATGTGCCTGCAACCAAGGTACATGCCCTTGACCAGAATCGAACCTGGGACCCTTCAGTCCGCAGGCCGACACTCTATCCACTGAACCAAACCAGTTAGGGCATGAATGCATTTTTAAAAAATATTTTTATTGATTTCAGAGAGGAAGGGAGAGGGAGAGAGAGAGACATCAGTGATGAGAGAGACTCATTGATTGGCTGCCTCCGGCCGCCCCTACTGGGGATTGAGCCCACAACCTGGGCATATGCCCTGACTGGGTCCTCTTGGTCCATAGGATGATGGCTCAATCCACTGAGCTACCACAGTCGGGCAAAATAATTTTAAATTTAAACAAATCTTTTTTTGGCATAGTGAAAATTTTAAAACTCCATAAATATCTAGTAATTAGGGAATAGTTAAGTAAATTATTATGTCAGTGTTCTGAATTAGAAAGGAGATAGTAAATATGTTTAGGAAGATTGTAATAACATGGAAAATTTTAGTTGTTAAATAAGTACTATTTAAGGACCTGTTCTGAGTATTGGAGATTTTTTTTAAAAAGGTGAGTAAAACCCAGTCCTAATCCTCAAAGAAATTAAAATTAAATAGTGAATAAAACCTAAAACCTATAAACAAGTGTAATGTGTTTTAAGTGTTCTGTAGAACAGTGTACAGGGCACAGTAGAGACCCAGAGGATGGTGGATAATGTGCTTAGTTCTACCTGTGTGGACTCAAAAATGACAATAACTAGAATGATGCTGAGTCTTGACAAATTTAAGTCACCAGGCCAATGGAGGGTGAGGGTGGGGAAGAATAGGTAGTATATTCCAGACAAAACCAGATGTGTAAACAGAGCGTTATGATTTATTGTTTTCAAGTATACCATTTATATATTTACAGTAAGAATCCGCTTACAGAAAACCCTGCTTATGGAATTAAACCTACATGTTGATAATAGTGCACTTCAGGTGATTTTTTCTTCTTTTTAAAAAATACTTTCTAGCCGTAACTGGTTTGGCTCAGTGGATAGAGCATCGGCCTGTGGACTTTTAGGTCCCAGGTTCGATTCCGGTCAAGGGCACGTACCTTGGTTGCGGGCACATCCCCAGTAGGAGGTGTGCAGGAGGCAGCTGATCAATGTTTCTCTCTCATCGATGTTTCTAGCTCTCTATCTCTCTCCCTTCCTCTCTGTAAAATCAATAAAATAAATAAATAAATAAATAAATACTTTCTGATTGTCTGTAAATATAAATTCATATAATAAAAAATAAACATAAATGATAGATTCATACATAAAATTGCACACAAAGAGATGGTCTAAATTTTTTATACAACAAATGATGCATGAAGATTCATCAACCATGCTTGTCATAATGGCATCAGACTGCTGTTAATTATATGAGTGACTCCATCATGTAAATGGAAACTCATTTTCTTCCCCCCCCTCATATAGATTGCCCTGAATCCAGGAGAGCTGCAGGAAAATAAAGTGCTGCCTTAAGGTAAAGGGCCATGATGTAGAAGAGGGAGTAGAGTTGTTCTCTTTTTTCCAGAGGGTAAAGCTGGGCCAAGGGGTTGGCTGCCTGAATTGGAGTGTCTAAATAAGGAATTGTGAAATGGTGAGTCCCTGTCACTGACAGTGTTCAAGCACCATCTGAAAGATCATCTAATGGTGCCATGGAAGAGACCTCTCCATTGGTAATCAGGATAGAGCATTACCTCCAACATCTGTTAATTGTCTACAATTCTAAAAAAGGCTGAATAGATGAAATCATTCAAAAGGAAAGGACTAGTTCTTATGAAAGTGCCCTAGAACAGTAGTTCTCAAAGCAAGGCCCCTGGACCAGTAGCATCAGCATCACCAAGGAGTTTGTTAGAAGTGCAAAATCTTTGAGCTCCACAACAGACCTGCTGAATAGGAAACTGGGAGGAGGACCCAGCATTCTATGTTTTAACATGCCCTCCTTGACCATTTACTTATTAATAAAGCTTATTAAATGCTTGGTATGGTATGAACATCCTTTAAACAACCATAGTTTACATACCATTATTATTGCATATTCTCAGTTATATTTTTGCTATCAGCATGTCTCATATAACTTGAGTTTTTGTATCTTTCACAGGTGTTGGGAAATCTTCACTAGTTCATCTTCTGTGCCAAAATCAAGTGCTGGGAAATCCATCATGGACTGTGGGCTGCTCGGTAGATGTGAGAGTATGTTTCCTATTTTCTTAGTAGTCATAGTAAAATTAATTTGTTCAACTATGTAATCAAATTATAGTACTATGATCAAAACTAAGTAATGGTAATAACTGGGCTTTATTAAGCACATACTCTGTGCTAGATACTATGCTTTACATGTCTTTCCTTATTTGATAGTTTTTAAACTGTGAGATAATAGCTGCAGAAACTAAGGCATAGAGTAGTAAAGTAACATGACCAGATTCACTCAGTGCTTAACAAGCAGTCAAGATTTGATCCCCATTAGTCTGATTTTAGAGACTTCAGTTTTAATTGCTATGCTATGTATGTAGAGTTCACTTTACATGCTCCATAATTAATTCTAAGCCTTTGCCACTGAAAAATCCAGCTTTTGGCTAGAAATAGTGCAAAGGCAAAAGCTTTTGGAGCCTCATGTATAGGTCATCAGTTCCAC